CAGTCAAATTAATCTAGTGTCTATCTTAATGGAGAAGCCTTTCTGAACCTATGAATGAACTGGTTTGGAGACTTAGGTTGAAGAGGCCTTTTTCAGTCAAATCCTTCAACTCCCATTTGGCCATAAACAGGACAACCTTAGAAGAGCTTCTATAGAAATTGATATGGGCAGTCAACTTATGGTTGCCTTCTCGGCATGGGAAGCAGCAAGAGGTTGCATCTTCCCCAAGGACATCTTGAGTAAGAGGAAGAAGATTATTGTGAATGGCACTCTCTTTTGTAAGAGGGTTGCAGAGTTGGTCAAGCACCTCCTTTTATCGTGGTCTGTTTCCTATCGGCTTTGAGTTTTGGCTTATAATCATATTAAGAGATGAACTGGGTCATGGCAGGTTCAGTCCATATGAGTCTAGAATAAAAGATATAACAAGACTTCAGGCACTATCTCGCTTGTCATATTATGGGTTTTATGGGAAGAAAGAAATAAAAGGGTCTTTAAGGACATTAAATGGTACTTAGATAGATTTAAAGATTCTTGGGTCCAAATTATGTCTTTCAGTGAAATATCCTCCTCTTTGCACTGGGAGGATTTAGGAAACTTGATTGATCTGTTGATAGACATGTAAAGCTTTTGGATGTGGGCTGCACCTCTTTGGTGGTTGTTAATATTGTACTTCTAATTTTAAAAAAATTTAATATCATTGTACATATATTAGTAATTATAACAGTATAAATAATTATATTTGATTTGGATCTACGAGTTCGAATTCATATGAAATGAAATCCGAGTTTGATGGAGTCGATACATATTGAGTCTAAAAATCAAATCAGATTCGAGCCTAAAGATACTTGTATTAGGCTTCCAGTTGAACTCGAGCTCAATAATATTTAACTAAACTGAGCTCGAATACGCAAATATACAGCTCGTTCTGCTGATTTCTACTCTAATTGCAACAGGGACTCGTATAAACTTAGTTTAGGATGCCAACTAACTCATTACTCTAGGCACAGAAACTACTGAGATTTGATAGAATTACTTATTCTATGTATCCTCAATTCTAAGTGGCAGCAATGGATGATTATTAATGTGTTTTTTTTTTTTTTACTTCCAGATGAATGTAAAAATGAGATCAATGGCCTGTGTGACTACTGTGACGATATTTCATTTCCCTCTACAGGGAGAAGAATGCTGAAACACTGGACTTTCTGGAAGCAGCCGAAGCATGCCTTGAAATCTGCCGTTTACACGGAGTACCTTTGCTGATAAATGACCGAATTGATGTTGCCCTTGCCGTTGATGCTGATGGAGTGCATGTTGGCCAGTCTGACCTGCCTGCTCATGTTGTGCGCACCCTTCTTGGCCCTGAAAAGATTATTGGTGTCTCATGCAAGACACCGGAGCAAGCCCAACAAGCATGGATTGATGGTGCTGATTATATTGGTTGCGGTGGAGTTTATCCAACTAATACAAAGGCAAACAATCTCACTGTTGGATTGGATGGATTAAAAACTGTTTGTACAGCCTCAAAGTTGCCAGTTGTTGCAATTGGTGGTATTGGAGTGTCGAATGCTGGTGACGTCATGGGAACTGGTTCACCCAATCTAAAAGGTGTTGCTGTTGTATCAGCTATGTTCGATAGGGAATGTGTTTTGACAGAGACAAGGAAGTTGCGTGCAGTACTTATGGAGGCTACGTCTTCTGTGAAATAAAGAGCCTCCCTCGAGTGTTTGTTGGTTCTAATAAAATATGTTTTATATTCGATTTATTTATGCAAAAAGAATTGCTTTATTGTTCGAAATACCGACATTGTTGAAACAGACATGAGATGTTGATACTGAATTACATAGCAAATAATCCACTTGTCATTAACCTCCAAAGAGTAACAAACTGTTGATTATTATGTGCATTGTGCATCAACAGAACCATGATTGTCCACTGGCTACGCAATTAGGTTCTGTGTAATACAGAGATAATTTCTACCTTTATTTCCTGCATACGTTAAGAATGAGTTTGTACTGCCGTGTATACTTACTACATATTTTTGTGGGGCCATGCATATGCATGATATTAGAAACAAAAAATTGACTGTATTGTTAAAATCTTATTATTCATCGCTTGAATCTTACAATTATTTTGATAATTTATTTTTTTTTAATTATTAAATACAAAATATACACTTCAATTTGAAAACCAATATTTCTTCAATTTTTTAAATACTAATATAAATTTTTTAAAATATTTATAAATTGTGGCAATTTTTTCTTTAAATTTTAGATATTAATGAATTATGTTTCAAATTGATTGAATTCTTGATGTTAAAAATCTGGATTTTAAAATTTTGAATTTTTCATTTTCAATTCAAATTTTGTTTCGACAATTATGTATTGTGATATTTACAAATAAATATTAGAATATATTATAAAAAATAAAAATGTCATAATTACTTTTACTAGTTTTTTTGTATGTAGTTTTTGTTTATTTATTATTTTTAAAATATTATATTCGTAGGGTTAAAGAGATATAACTTGAATTTAATAATTAAAATTTATAAATAGATATATATTTTTTTTGTTACTCGAATTTTAATTTAAAATAAGTAGAGCTATAAAATTATTAAGTAAAATCACAATTTTTTATTTTGATTAAAATTAAATGGTAAATATTAATTTATTTAATGTAACAATTAAAAGTTTAAATATATAAAGTGTTTTTTGATATATGATAGTACTGCTATTTTACTACGAAAATCAATGTAAAATAACAAAATAGAAAACAGAAAAAAAAATTAATTTTTTCAATTATTTTGTGGCAAAGAAAAAATCTTTTAAGATAAATAAAATAAAATTAAAAAGCTCTCTCTCTCTCTCTCTCTCTCTCTCTCTCAGCCCAAACCCACGCAAACCCAGCGATTATGTATAGAGGTTCTCTGAAGCCAAGGTGTTAACTCTAACCTACAAAATTACAGAGCTTCTTTCCACCATGAGTTCAAACAAAATGAGTGCAACTTTCAGGATGTCTGCAACCGATCTAGACGGAGCAGATCAACCCATTTCAAAATAATAGTGGAGGTCAGGGACTGGACAATCCGGATTCCGGTAGCGTGCGCCGCCAGGATTTTCCAGCTCACTCGAGAGCTCTGCTTCAAAACCGATGGCGAGACAATCCGCTGGCTCTTGTACCAAGCTGAGCCGGCCATCACTGCACTCACTGGAAATAGGGTTTCTCCGGCTCCTCCCCCGTTACCGGTGGCGGATTCTTTATCAGGTTTACAAGCCTGTGCCTTTCCTGCCAGGACCGGAGTTCAATCAGTTAATGGCGATCCTTGGGCTTTGGAGTTGGAAGCCCAGTGGGTTTGTTTTGAAATGGGTTGATCTACTCCGTATAGATCGGTTGCAGACATCCTGAAATTTGCAGACATCTTGTTTGAATTCATGGTGGAAAGAAGCTCTGGGATTTTGTATGTAACGGCCCCGTAAATATTAAAATGAAATGAGTATTTAAATATATCAAATGCGGAAGCGAGATCAAAATTTCAGTTAACATCCCTTACACGAAAAACCAGAAACGTACTTAAAATATAAAAGATTAAACTAACTAAGAGAGAAACTCGAAAATAAAACTATGAGTATGACTACAGAGTCTCTAGGTATCCCCTTCGTCATCCTCCTGCGGAACGGGCTCGGGAACCATGTCTTCCTGATCTGAAATGGTTAAATAAGGAGTGAGCTACACTAGCCCAGTAAGAACATCACGATATCTCACCGTCACGGAGGTAAAGGTGGGTAGAAAAACACAAAAGACCAATGGAGCATAATTTACAATAAAACCTTTTATCAAT